AAGTAGAATGAATGCCTTAAGTCTCTGCAGTACCTAAGTCATCCTCCTCTTATATACACCCCAAATATCCCACAAAAACAATATTTTCCCTCTGAAGGATCTCTGGATAATAATTGCTGGGACTTGTGGATTGTGCAGTTGTGATTCAGAATAAAAAAAAGATGGATTATATTCCAGTTTGCCATAAGAAAGAATGAATGGAAGAGATTCTCCAATTGTATGGAATAACAAGCACTGGATTTTTTAGGAATGGTGACACACCATAATGAAAGTGTCCTATATTGTTATATTGCTTTACAATAGAGTGACTACGTTATTCTGACTGTCCTAGAAAATTATAGCATCAATTCAGAAAGGCAGTCTTCCCTAAGCATGCTTTCTCCAACCAGCTCATGCTGATTAGGAAATATAGAAATTGAAGGTCAAGACTTAAAAAATTGAAATCCTAAAAATGTGACCTTTTCAATAGGCTGTACAGTGGGACGATAGGGTGTTTTGGTATTGTTCTGTTATTCTGTGTGTGTTTTTTTAATGTATTGCAGGTCACCCACACTCATTTTGGCAATTGATATCAGTTAGTTAGTCTTATCAGCTGAGTTAGTAAATAGATTAATCAATGAATAAATACATCCAGAGGACATCAGATTGAGGATGACTTGATTAAGATAAACCTTGCCTTGCAAAAACGAGGCCTAGGCAAGGCTCTCTCTGTGAAGTGAGCTAAGGCTATTCATTAGGCCGGGGTCTTCAAACTTCACAGCTTTAAGACTTGTGGACTTCAACTGTCGGAATTCCTCCTCCAGTCATGTTAGCTCAGGAATTCTGGGAGTTGAAGTCCACAAGCCTTAAACTTGCCAAGTTTGAAGACCCACTTCAGACTCTGTTCTGAACTACAGCAGTCTAGTTTCAGCAGCCACTCCATCCATCTTTGAAGTGATTGTTTTCCATTCACTCATCATGCAACATTTAGACAGAGGGAACATCTTAGAAAAAAAAAACAAAGCTCTCCTCTAATTCCACCCCCTTTTACTTCTTCTGCAAAGGACATATCTAAAATGTCCTTTCCTGTGAAGATGATTAGAGATGGAGAAAGTTTTTGGGGTTAATTGGTGCTGAAGTCACAAAGTGATTAATGGCTCCCCATAAAAGTGGGAAAAGTAATCTTTCACTGAGAATTCCAGAGGGGAGAAATGTCCTCTGTGTATTCAGACAGCAATTTCTTCAACTCTCAGAAAAAGTGAGAGAGGGGACATACATGCATGTGAACACAACCCATACTACAGATAGAATGGAAATAAATTTTAACCGGAACTCCCAGAAAATAACTAAATAGTAATTTTTAAAAACTTTAATATACAGGAAATACCCGTCTGCCCATCAAGCCCGAGCAATGCACAATGTGCCAACTTTCCACAACTCAGTTCTTCCAACTTGTGGGAAAACAAATACCATTGTAGCTGGTATGTGTGTCAGGAGTTGTAATCTGAACACTTTTGGAGACTCTAAATTGAAAAAGATTGGAGTACAGGTAGTCCTCATTTAGCAACCATAACTGGGATCGGCAACATGGCCATTAATCGAAGTAATTGCTAAGTGAAACCACAATTGTGCTTATGTTCTTACTTCAGCTTTCCTTTGCTTTATAGACTTGTGAATGTCACAAATACAAGAATTGGTCACAAAATCACTTTTTCATCTCTGTTGTAAATCTGAAAGGTTACTAAATAGGCATGTGTACAAAAACACAACAATCCAATGTTTTCATGCAATTGTTTTTGTTAATGTGACAGGACCTTTTTTGGGGATGAATTTGTTTTCCCTGCAAGGACGCTTTCATTGGAGCAGTGGAAGAAAGCTGAGAGTCTTAGCTCAGCTGACGGAGAAACGAACCAAACTGATCGACGTTAAGATATAAACTATTATAGTTTGTGCTGATGTCACCAGTACTGATCAAAATGGAGGGGGAATAAGCCGTTGAAGAGGTTTGTTTTTCTTGGAGGAGTCCCTGCGGGATTCTCATCCACAGTCCTTCTATCTCTCAGCAAAACAGAACCCAAACGACAGCCAAGAGAGCTGTTTTAGCTATCATAAAACTGATGGAGTCTAGGTCAGACCAAAATTTAGTGAAGCACTCAGGGCTCAGCTGCATTTGACTCATTAGCTAGTTAGTTTGACTCCATCCCCTGGGAGAATTAAATACAGTGCAGAGTCCAAGGGGATATTGCCTTGATACTACCATATTTGTTATATATATTTCAGCACAGACATCAGAGGCAACTCGGGTCAGAGGTAATGGCCTTATTCAGAGTTTTTCCGTCCCTCCTGTTCCCTTCTTTGAAGTCCCCGTGGTGAGTTGCTGAAGTCTGCAAGTCCAATTCTAGACTTGAAGGTTACAGAATGTATCTTACCCACCAGGGGAAAAAACCACTGTGATTATATAGGAATGACTACACCCAGCCCTTACAACCAGGGGTGGGATTCAATTTTTTTAACAACCGGTTCTGTGGGCGTGGCTTAGTTGGTGGGCGTGGCTTGGTGGTCATGTGACTGGGTGGATATGGCTTGGTGGTCATGTTATTGGCTGGGCGTGGCCAAATCAATATCACTCACATTGAGGCACGCATTTCCTCGCCTGGCCTCTTATGACTGTGGGGATGCTGCAACAGTCGTAAAAGTGTGAAAAATGGTCATAAGTCACTTTTTTCAGTGCCATTGTAACTCCACACAAGCAAAGTACCAGCAAAGGAAGGGAAAAAAACTCCAGAGAAGTTCCTGAGACAGGAAGTCTAGTCCTGCCAAGAATGTAATAAGGGTTAATGGAGAGGCAGTTTCTGTAAGCAATACCAGAATATTTCCTTCCTGCCTTCCTTACAGGATTAGGCCAGTAATTTCTTCTAACAACCGGTTTTCGGAACTGCTTAGAATATTAACAACTGGTTCTAGCGAATAGGTGCAAACTGGTAGAATCCCACCCTGCTTACAACCATTTGTTTAGCAACTGTTTGTAGCTACAATGGCACTCAAAAATGTGACTTACAATTGCACGTATGACCATTGCAGCAGCCCCTCCCCCAAGATCACATGATCAAAATTCAGTCACTTGGCAACCAGGATGTATTTAAGATGGTTGCAGCGTTCTGTGGTCATGCAATCACCATTTGTGACTGTCCCAATGGATTTCCACCAAGCAAAGACGACGGGGAAAGCTAGAATCACTTAACTACATGATTCACTTAAGAACCATGGCAAAAGTTTATAAAATAAGATGTGACTTATTTGGCAACCATCTTGCTTAGCAATGGAAATTCTGGTCCCTGTTGTGATTGTAAATTGAGGACAACCTGTATGCAATTATTCCTTCTAGAAACCATGGAATTATAGTTCCAAAAAAGAAATTTACCATCTTACTATTTTCAACGAAGTATAGTACCTGAGTTTCTTTTGGAAAAGCTATAACAAAATTTACTGGAACATACTTATTCCATTAGTCCAGAGGTCTCCAAACTTGGCAATTTTAAGTTGTGTGGACTTCAACTCCCAGAATTCTCCAGCCAGCTGGCTGGAGGATTCTGGGAGTTGAAGTCCACAAATCTTAAAGTTGCCAAGTTTGGGGACCCCTGCTTAGTCTATATTGTTTAGCTATTCAGAGTGGTTCAGCTTGGAGTAGATACAGAAAGTGCTACTAATGTCAATTTCTAGTAGTTCCTACAGTGCCGGTATAAGACAGTTCCCCAGTTGGAGTACAAACCAACTATTAATCATTAACATTTCCAGTGTCAATGAACACTGCAGGAGAAGAATATTATGATCAATCTAGGCCACTCAGAGTCACTGCAACAGTGAGATGGGCAACATATAAATTTAATAAATAAAATCAATCACACCAACCCTGAGCTACATAACGGTTGGCATGATAGGTAGCTTGTTGTCTACCATTAGCTAATGAAAATACCTGAACTGCTATATAATGAGTCCTGGCATGATATGTGCAGTCCCTACACCAAAGAAATGCCACCTATAATGCCAAGCATTAATATGCTGACCATATATTTCTCCCAGAAAATAAGTTGGTTTTCTACAATAGATATTAAATCTCCAGAGAGCAAAATCCTAGGGGCAAACCTAACATGTACATGGCTGACATAATTAAGATATTTTTTTGACTACAAATAGTGATAGACTTGCCATTTTTCTGAAACAATAAGAGCACCATTTCAGGTAGCAGCTGCTGGAAAGTTGTGGCAAGGTGTTAAAACCATGTGCTATACAAGATGTTTTCCTTGCATGTTGCTTTCAGATATGATGGAAGACGCCATCCCAACCCAATATTGGAGTAAGATTCAACTTACTTCATGTTTTAAATATGGAAAGAGAGAGAGGTTTTGCCCTCAGCAATAAAAAAAGGATAAAACCAGCCTCAACAACCTACTTGATATTAAAAGCATGGTGTGATCTTAACCTATAATAAGGATAGGTAACCAGAATGCAGATCACAAGTGCCAACCCCAGTTACCATAGTGGTTAAAGATTCCACTATCAGAATTTGGTGATTTAATGGGCAATTTTCAGCAGTTTTCTTCTTAGTAGAAAACAAGCAGTGAAATAAAAGAAGAAATGGATGTGCTAAGCTTATGCAAGACTAAACACACCAATTTTCATCCTTAAAACCCCCAACCTATCCCCAGAAGAAAAATATTGTTCCTTGTATTTCCCAGACCAATTTATTTTTAAAGCCCAAAAGGACCCTGAATTGCTTCTAACTTTCTGGAATAGATTAAGGAAAGTTAGTACCATGCAGTTTTGCAAACATATATTCAATGGGTCATATGTATGTTTGACTTAACGAAGGCCTCTTGATAAAACATATCTTCTTGTATCCTCTGCTGATGAGATGATGTAAACAAGGAAATATAAACTGCCTCCAGCTTTGCAGTGTGTTTCACTTGATGGGTTTAGCGAGATGGTGCACAAATAAAGGAAAGCTTATAAAAATATTTTACCTGTATATGCAGAAGTCTAGTGAAGTCCATGCAAAATCTCATAACATTGGATCCTACTTCTTGTCACAAATGGGTCAGCCAAATGCCTTTATATAGAAGTGTACTTTGTCCTTTCAGTAGCTTTGCAAGAATTCTGCTTTCTGCTGGTGTTATCAAGACATAGAAGCTTGCTGAACCTGAAGGTGAAGATGAGCTTTGGATGTGTCCTTCCTAAATGGGAATGGTCACTTGCAGGAAGTGTCTCTCACATCTGGCATTCCCTCTTGAATCTTCTTTTGGGTCTTTTTCTAACATCACCAAGGAACTGTTTGGACAAAGCATAACATTCCTGAGTGAGAACATAAGCAGGGGTATCATTTAAATTTGAGTATTATCAAGCTTTGGAAGATTACTGGGTGTATTTGGAATTTTGAAATCTTTTCTTGGAAGTCGTCATAATATAGCTGTCATGGACTGTGACTGTCATTGTGAGTGTACACCAGTGATAAGAGGTCCATTTCACAAAACAGCAAATGACTCAGTTCATAAGCCATCTCAAGCCATTGAAGCAAAAATATTTAAAGTACAATGAAATGGAAGAAATTGTCATAATCAATTATGAAGAAACTATCATAAGCAATTATGAAGAAACCAGCTTAGTGTTTTGTGGACATAAAAAATAATGTCTGTGACTGTAATTTTTCTAACCTCCCACCTCCAGTGGATATTGTCTTCCTTATAAATCATGATAAAGGGTCAGCAAAACAATTCAAGCACATGCACTAAGATAAGTGGGCAGGTACCTCCTATACATGTTTTCTCCAAAGTCAATTTATGGAAGACTTAAAATTCGCCCTCCTGAACCAGACCAAGACCCATCTTCATCTAGTATTTTGTTTCACATAGTGGTGAACCTGGTGCTTCTGGAGGCTTACTAGCTGGAAATGGAGACATAGGAATTTCTGCTGTTCTCCTGAAAAAGGTAGTGGGATATATGTGATTCCCAATTCAGGAGTAACAGAGACTCAAAAAACAGTACTTTTGAGTGAGCTTCCTCCCCGACTTTATCCAATCTCCTTTTAAATTCACCCAAGATAATGATCTCTACCACATTTTGTAGCATTGAATTTGACAGGTTCATTATATACTGTGTGAAAAAGTACTTTCTTTTGCCTGTTCTAAATCACCTCTGTTACTTTATTGTACATCTCCTTGTCCTAATATTTTAAAAAAGGGAGAAAAAATTGCCTCTGCCCCTGCTGTCCTTGCTATGTTTGATTTTATTTATCTCAACCATGTCCTCAGTCACCTTTGTTTTTTCTTTAAAAGGAAAGCCCTAAACTTCAAAGAATTCAGTAGCTCTCATTGAAGTATGCAAGAGAATGCTACTCTAAATGTAAATTAATGTATACTATAGCCAACCTCAATTAGAACAAAAATGAGTAAAAAAATCACACAAACTCCATTTAACACAAAACTTTCTGTAAACCACACCTTCTTCTATAAGCCTGTCTCCTCTCTTTCTTCCTCATTTAACAATGTAGTTCCTTCATCATCTTGCATCAAATGACTGTCTTTTGATATCATTCACAACTGATTTGACTTTGACATGAAAAAAGCAGGTTTTGCAAGGTTTTCTGGAATGGGATGGTTATGCAAGTTGGGGATTGCCTGTACTTAAAAATCTATTAAGATTACTATTTCATTATTACTGAAATGTTAAAATTAAAACAAATGCATAGAAATATCAACAAAAAGCAGCAGCTCTCATAGGGACTATATATTTAATATCACATGTGTTAACAGTGGCCAGAATTGTATTTCCACAACATTGGAAAGGTGTGGAGATCCCCACAAATGAGAAGATAGTAAAAAAAAAAACCCTAGAATGTGTAGAAATGGATAGATTAACGTAACACTTGAAATTAAAGATAAGGAAGATACAGAATTTTTTGAAACATGGGATTCGTTTTATCTATGGTTAAATAACAGAAACAGTGGTTAGAATATTTAATAATAAATGAAGGATTAATTTTATCATGAAGGTTTATTATCAATATGAATATTAATCATTAAGTATTAATATGTTGAGAAAATACTATTATTATATGATCACTACTAATAAACATGATGATGATGATGATGAATGTTGCTTAAACTAACTGTAACCAGACAACACACTGTTTATATAGATATTGAAATTGTGGCTCTTTCTTTATATAGTAAAAAATAAAAAATATTTGAAAAAAAAGCAGCAGCTCTCAAAAATCATGAGTAATCAAGGGCCTTAGTGATGATGTTAGTCGGGGGAGTCCAACGTCCCTGCAATGAAACTGAACCTCTGAGGTGCATTTCTCAAAACTAAACTGGAAAGAAAGGCCTTGTTTGGTTAAGAAGCAGGACATCATAGCAGCAAACTTTAGAGCATGTGCGTATTACTTTCCACCCCAGGGAAGGGCTAAGTGAGGCCCATCAGGATTTCAGGGTAGCCCCCCAATGTCTGTTGATACTTTGTTTATCCATCAAGAGCAAATTCTTATGTCATCCATTGTGCTGCTTTCTTGTTTTGCGGTGTTCATGCATGAGTGTTTGCACATCTCCATGTGTACAATAGGCAGAGTATGTGTGCTTGCGAGATGTAAAAAGTTTGGGAATTGACTGAAATGTGAGAAAATCGGGATCACAGTAAATATGCATGCGTATGTGCTAAATTTAACAAATAGGGAAACCAATTTAAATTAATATTAACTTTTGATTAAGTTCTACTTTACACCATCATCTCCACACTTTTAAAAATCTTTATTGGTGGCCTCACCCCCTTTTGCAGGGGGCCTCATAACTGCTGCCCAAGGAACTTTCTGTGCTTCTTTTTGAGGGTCAGAGACGAAGAAAATACTTCAAGCAGAGAGTGATAGCTTGCAAAAGAGAATCGGTTTTCCATGTTAAATGATTTGTTTCTCCTTTTTCAGTACCCCTCCTCCTCTACCAAGATCTCCTTTTGACTAGTGAGATTTGTGTTGTACTCACTGGTTAAATCATGTCAAGATGTGTTTTATAGCTAGTAGTCAACAGTTATTAAAAGCTATAAGGGAGTATTTCAGAAAGCACCCTCATTGCTCAGTAATGAAGTCATGTTTTTAACCCTGTGCTATGAAAAAGGCTAGAGGAAAGAAAAATCCCTTGATAACCAGCATTTGATTTCTCACCACACCTGAGAATCTTCTAAACGGTCACTTCCACACTTTGCCCCAGAGCCAAAATGGCTTGACATAGTAAATAAGTTTAAATTGGATTTATGAGTATGGTGAAAGAGGCACAATCAAAAATCAATGCGTCTTAATCTTGGCCTCTTGAAGATGGATGGACTTCAACTCTCAGAATTCCCTAGCCAGCAAATGGAAATTCTGACAGCTGAAGTCCACCCATCTTCAAAAGACCAAGGTTGAGAAACACTGTTTTCAATGCTTCTAAGTCTGATTGCCTTCATTTATTTGGAACTTCTTTTGCTAGCCAAGAAAAGAATAAAGAAAACACTTTTAAGACCATCCTTCCTAAAATAATTATTTGACATCAGCATATGCCCACAGCTTTCAAAACACTCAACTAACTATTAGAGGTAGCACCAGGGCTCCATTAGTACTTTTCCACACTACCAGAGAGACAGAATTCTTCAAGAGTTAGGACACATTTCCATATTATAAATGTGCTAGCCTATTTTACTGCCACCCTCTGGCTACTATTCTTCTGAGTCATGGGTTCAAACACAACACTGATTCATACCCAGATGAGGAGCTCATGCAGAAAACATTTGCTTTATTGCAAGAGTGAAATTTGTGCTGATTGGGCAGGTGGACGTCTATTATACAGACTTACTGCAGTGTTTTGTTTCATTTCCACCAACACCACCAGCCTGTAGAGGTTTATACTGTCAGGTTTACTTTCTATGCTAACCTGCATTTCTAAGAAGCCATTATGCCTGCAAAGTCTTCTCATGAAAAAGGCCTTGCAATGAAATAACAGGAAGTGTAGGACCCCATGTGACATTCTTGTCAATCTGCTTCAAAATATCTGTCTGGTAAGAGTAGATTTGAGACAGAGAGAAAAGGGAGGAGGGAAGTCTGCATGAATGACTTATAGTCATCCACCTGTGGTTGTGCCAATACAACTGTAATGAGGACAGATTTGTAACACTTCAGCCTTCAGTTATGGTTGGATAATGCTGTGCAGATGCTATAAGTCAAGGAAACTTTCTGTGATTCAATTATATTCAATTATATTAGATGACGATTCTCAGAGGTAATCAAAAAAGTCAAGACACTGACCACAATGTTGAGGTCAAAGTTTGCATAGCATCTTCACCTTTTAAAATCTATCTATATATAAAAGCGAAATACCACTCACGCATCATCACAAAATCTCCAGAAACGTAAAACCTACAAACTTGAAATTTGGCACATATGTTCCTCTTGGCTTCTAGGTGCTCACTAAGAAAGGATTTTTCAAAATGACCATAAGAGCATTAGTGTTTTTTTTTATTATTATTTGCACGCTCTGATGCCAAGGAGTTCTACTCCCCCTCCCCACCTGAAAAGAAATCTGTTCCAAATGCAAAACACAAGCAGAGGAGAGGAGTTTCAGTTTCAGTTTCACAGCAGCAACCAGCTTTACTACAGAAAGGTTGAACTAAGCCACACTCAGGCTCCTTGCTGTCTCCTTGCTCACACAACAAATACTGTTTCAGTTTCCAAACAGCCCTCAACTCTCACACACTGAGGCAGAGGCAGAATTTTTTCCCCCTTATTTTCCTCCACAAAAACTAAGTCTGCCTGATCATATAGTTTCGTAGAGAATCACGGGTATAGAGCTAGTAAAACTATAGTTTGTGGACAGCCCTGACATCTTGCATAATTTTTACTGACTGAGGATTTTGTACTTTTGATCCAGCATTTCTGGAGAGGATCAAATTAAGGAAACTGGATTAAGTTCTCAAAGGGGTTGTGAAAATTAAAAATATTCAGGACTACCGAAATGCGGTGCAGATTAAGAACATGGCCACAGATTGTACAGTTGCAATCTTTAAACATTCTAAGAGTGGGCATGCCTACTTAAGGGACAAAATTAGCATCTTAAAGCTTGTAAAGCATTGACATACTCATTCCACCCCTCAAAATTAGATCTCCGCCAATTTTTTTTCCATTGGGGTTAGGGAAAATGGGCTGCTGCAAGGTTTAAAAAGCAAATTTAATTCCCTGGTCTCAGACTATTGCTACCTTTGGGCAAAGGAAAATTGATTGCACTCTTTCTCTAAAGGACCCAAGGATGAAA